TTGTCAGCTGGCAAAATGACAGCCGAGGTTTGAGATCTGAGCGTTGCGCGATGGGGTGAGCTCCCGTTACTTGCCCGCCCATCTAGCAGTTCGAAAGCATGCAAGCGTGAGTAGATAAACAGGTACCACTTCGGTGGGAAGATTCGGTGCGCCTTGGCATGTAGTCATGCCAAGCCGCATTACCATAGAAATTCTTCTGGCAATTCTGACTCCCTTGGGTAGGAAATGGGAGATGGGCACCAGCCCCTAAAGTTGGACACGACTGGACAGAGGAAACCTTTATAATTATTAGATGGATGATTGGTGCTTTTTCATTCTACAGGAAACCAGTGGTGAAATGTAACATTTGTTACTACCGGTTCTGTGGGCATGGCTTGGTGGGGGTGTGCACTTAACAAATGTTTCACTTATCAACATAAATTTTTGGCCTCGATTGTGGTCGTCGCTTGAAGACTACCTGTATAAAAAGGCCATGATTGCATTGTACTGTTCATTTTGTCATTCTTCTCCTCATCCCCAAACATTGTCGGTTATGTCTTAGCCCAGGGATGTCAAACTCTATTCAATTGAGGGCCGCATCAGGGTTATGTTTGATCTCATTGGGAGATCAAATGGGAGACAGATGGGCGTGGCCAGCTCAAGATTATTTGTGTAAACTCGATGTCACTCATTTTCAGCTGTGATGGCCTCCTGCACCCCTCTGCCAGTGAAAGCGGAGCTTGGAGGAGTGCGTGTGGCTCCCCCGGCCCCTGTTTTCAGTCACAGTGGCCTCCTGCAGCCCTCTGCCAGTGAAAAATGGAGCTCGGAGGACTGCGCGTGGCTCCCCCAGGCCCTGTTTTCAGTCACAACAGCCTCCTGCAGCCCTCTGCCAGTGAAAATGGAGCTTGGAGGACTGCGCGTGGCTCCCCCGGGCCCTGTTTTCAATCACAACGACCTCCTGCAGCCCTCTGCCAGTGAAAACAGAGCTCGGAGGACTGCATGTGGCTCCCCTGGGCCCTGTTTTCAGTCACAACGGCCTCCTGCAGCCCTCTGCCAGTGAAAACGGAGCCTGGGGGGGACCGCGTGTGAGCTTCGTTTTCGCTGGCAGAGGCCGTCATGACTGAAAACAGAGCCTGGGAGGGTCACACGTGGCTCTCCTTAGCTTTCTTTTTGCTGGCAGAGTGAACGCGGGCTGGTCCTTTGCTGTTTCCTGGGCGGTCCCACAGGCCAGATCTAAGCACCCCTAAGACATCCCTGTCTTAACCCCACTTTGCGTACTTAATCAGAATTATAGCTTGTTCGACAGAAACAGTGGAAAAATCATAACATCGTGCAATAGAATCTTCACAACCCACAATATGGAGATTTTCCTGCCTTTGTTCCTTATTATTTTGCCTCGCAGAGTAAGTGGGTAGAAACTGAAATCTGGGAGCAGGTTACGAGTATCACTTACTTTCTAATTAGAGCATAATTTGTTCTCTTGAAGAGCAAATACAGTATTATGTACTCCGTAAGTTATAGATGCAGAAGAAAAGGTTTGCCTCCCCCCCTCTGCTTTCATCTTTCTTTCTTTTTTTAAAAGAGAGGTTAGTCAGCAGGCTTTTGTAAAAGAAAAATGATCAAAAGAAATGCTGTTAGCTAGCACTCCTCAACAACTGCACAGGGCACAGGCAAAAAAATATAGTAATAATGACGATGAAAGTCTTGGCTCATAACACACCAGCTATAAGAAGAAGGAAGTGTGGATAATTGATGTGGCGATAACAAGAGAAGAGTAGAAGATAAAGACTTGGAGAAGATCACAGAGTATCAAGAACTGAGAACTGAAGTCGGAGAACTATAAACTGAAGATTATAGCAAAAATTGGCTGCGATGATCCCAGTTATTAGCACACGGAGTGGCATCCTTACAGAATCTGCACATTGACATTCTGGTTTTCTTTAACAAACAGACCGTGCTTTGCAAGAAGCTCAGTCTTCAGTGAGCTGTTTTAGGATTTTCCTGCCTTTAGCAATCTCCCCCACTATCCTTCTGAAAGATGGCTTTCCCTCTTCTCCAACCTTGCTGGTACTTCTGCTTTTTGTGGCTGTTACCATTTTGTTGGATGCCATAGCAAAGGGATCACAATTAAGTGAGCTAATCTGCAAACTGCTCTCATCAGAGAGGCCCCCCTGTACAGATCACAGGGTCGCAAAATAATTCCTTCTCTTTAGAAGTATAATGAAGTATAATCTTTAGAATCCCATCTTCCCATATGAAGAACAGTTGCAGATTTTGGGTCTGGCTACTCTAAAAGAAAAGAAGATTTAGGGGTGACATGATAGCAGTATTCCAGTATTTGAGGGGCTGCCACAAAGAAGAGGGGGTCAAATTATTCTACAAAGCACGAGGGCAAGAAATAATGGTTGGAAACTGATCAAAGAGAGAAGTAACCTGGAATTAAGGAGAAACTTCCTAACAGTAAGGACAATTAACCAGTGGAATAGCTTGCTTTCAGAAATCGTGGATGCTCCACGATGGTTTTAAAAAAGAGACTGGACAGTCACTTGTCTGAGATTGTATAGGTTCTCATCCTGCTTGAGCAGCGGGCTCCCAGCTCTATTCTATTCTATTCTATTTTTACTCAGGATGGAAAATAAGACAAATTGCTTCTGTCTGTTTTGCCTGTACCTTTTGATTCATAACTTTCTTCCTTAAAGGATACTTATCAAAATTTTGTTTCACTGATGTGGCTGAATCCTGCAATTCCACCATTCTTTTAAACATACAGATTGTGCTGTGAAACGTGTTGACCAGCAATTGGATTGCTAGTTTTGGGGGAAGTGCAGAAAAAATGAGCTTTATAAACAATTTTTCCATAGCTTAGTATGGCCAGATAACATCCTAATCCTAGCAAACTATTTACATGTAATATAATTCCATCACTTTCTCTTGTCATCAGATGCCCACTGCTTTTCCTGTTTCTAGAAAAGGGGGAAAAAAAGATCCATAATCTAGGTCAGTAAGTTTAACCTATATCCTCATAACGGCTATTAACCAATTTCAGACAACAATTGTCATGAGATAAAGCTGGTCTTGGGAGTTAGAAGTTATTTGGTGCACCTTATGCCCTTCAGACTCTGTAGAATACAATTATCCGTAATGAGTGCACCAGTGATTTTCATCATTATTTAATTGAAGTGAGCCATTGAAACAATCTTTTAACAACTGCTGTAGAGGCTGATGCATATATTCTATGTAGAGAATGGTTGAAGCTAGTTTTTCACAGATTTGGTTAATTTAAGGCAGAAACCTAGCAACCTGGTGCCATCCAGATTCTTTGGATTTCATCATCCATCAACCGCATCCATTGGGGCTGATTGTAAGACATTTTAGCCCAGAGTTCTGGCAGACGAAAGATGTAGATTTAAATTTACAACATGGAATTTGCTTTTTGAGAATAGGCACTGAAGTTGGCTTCTCATTGCACATTTGCCTTTGATTTTTTTGTACATAAGTGGCTCTAAAGAAGCTCACAATGAAATTTGAAATAAGCATATGAATTTACTCTCATTCTGTCTGGCATTTTCTTCCATGGATCCTCCAAAACATCTGTTGGCTACAACCTATTTTTATGGGGTTTTTGGCTTAATTTTTAAGAATGTCTACAAAGATGTTCCAACTTCTTATAGAAACTGTTCCTTCTTTAGCTTAGGGCAGGGAAGAGAAAAAGCAGGGGGGGAAAAAGAAAGTTCAGAATGAGTAAAAGAAGAGTATCAAAAGAAGAGAGTGAATTTTGTTTCTTCATCTCTACATATAGAGAAGTATGTTCTCCATTTTCTAAATGCTGTAGATCAGGGGTCTCCAACCTTGGCAACTTTAAGACTGAGGAAGCTGGCTGAGGAACTCTGGGAGTTGAAGTCCACAAGTCTTAAAGTTGCCAAGGTTGGAGACCCCTGCTGTAGATGGTCTGTATTTTCATTTTAATTGATTGCAAGATTAAAAAAATTGAACAGCTCTGACTTGTAGGTTCTTAACAATAGAATGCCTTATAAAAGTATAGGAAATAATACTTGATTGTGAGGGCAAATAAAATATCCCTGTTCACAAGGGGACAATATCCGCAATGGTAAAGACAACTTCACCTTTGAATTTAAGACAGCTCCTGGTGATTTTATAGATACCATAAATAAGCCTCTGTAGTTTTCTTGGTAAAGAATCAGGCTCTCTTTGTTTTCTTCTAACCCTTAAAAAAAAAACCTCCCAGTCTAGCTGCAACTCTTTGATTTGAAGTTTTCCTATTCAGCACTAAGCAGACTTGACATTACATTGCCTTTCAATATTAGCAAGGTTGGCCAAATCATTCTACCTGCTGGGCTGCTATTTGTATCTCTGCAGAGAGCCATAGGTTACTCCAAACTAAATATTTTAATAGTTGACCTTTATGCATTACCTTTCTCATCTGCTACAAAGACTTTGTAGAGGGCATTGGGAATGACCTTGAAAGGCAGGAGTTAGAGCCACTATCAAGGCAACGGACAGATAAACAGGACTTGTCTCCATATACTGCAAAATCTCAATTCCCATTCCACTCCAAGGGAAGGATACTGAAAAATCTCCATTCTCACCTCATTCCAGGGAAAGGATACTGCAAAATCCCCATTCCCTCCCCAATCCTGGGGGGAGGATATTGCAAAATCTCCATTCCTACCGCCCTCTGGGGCCATCCAGAGGTGGTATTTGCCAGTTCTCCGAACTACTCAAAATTTCCACTACCAGTTCTTCGAACCGCTCAAAATTTCCGCTACCGGTTCTCCAGAACCTGTCAGAACCTGCTGGATTTCACCCCTGATTCAAACAGTGGCTAAAGTAGAATGTCTAGGGAGGGAAATGCTCAAATAACATCATGGGAATTCTAAAGAGATCTTGTAGATTCAGTATTTGTGGATTTGGGTCTTCACCTCCCCAGGACAGCCTAGCACCTGATACACAAGTAGTCCACACATAACAACTGTCTTGTTTTCTGATTGTTTGAAGTTATGATGACATTGAGTAGCAAGTATCATCACGGTGTTTCTGTGCTTTGCAGAATCTCTGCAGATGGTGTAGATATTGTCCTGGATTGCCTTTGCGGTGAAAATACTGGTAAAGGCCTCAGTCTACTCAAACCACTTGGGACTTACATTTTATATGGTGAGTAAAATTCAAAAGCTAAATAAATCCTGAACTTCTCAAGAATCACCATTCTATTGTAGCTGTTCCAGTTGATTTCTAATGAGTAATTGCATGAAAAATTCAGTTGCTATTTCAGATATCAACCAAGAAGCACCTTAATGGCGGGAGGAGAAATGGAAAGATGGCAGAAGTAGAAGAGAAGGGATATGAAAGATAGATAGGACCAATTAATCTGTGTTGGCCATCCAGGCTGGCTGGATTTTCATATGACCATACTTGAAGTTCTTCTTGACCACTTTGTGCTGAGGTTTTCTTTTGCTCTTGGAGAAGCATATATTATGGTTTAAACTGAAAAGAAATGTTAACTATTAAATGTGTTGATTGGTAGCATAGAACTTGTAGACCCTTGGATGATATTCTACCAAGGGCATCAAAAAATGGAGGAGACGATAAGGAAGATACTAGTCTATGCGGAAATGGACAGACTAACACTAACAATAAAAGATAAAGGAGATACAGAATACTATTCTACATGGAATAGATTTTATCAATGGTTAGAAACACGAGGTAGAAGTTGGAATGCGAAAGAATCAGGTTAGGTGGACATGGAAAGAGATACTATGTATGTATTAGAATGTAGCTATTAGAATGATAGACATTCTAGAATATGATGGTCAAAAATAACTGTACAACACTAGCACTGTTTAAAATAGTATATATGTTATTTGTTTTTACCTTTGTTGCATGGCAAGTGGAATGCCAGGACAATTACACTGTATTCAATATATTTATATGTAAACAATAAAAATATATATTTTTTAAAAAATGCAGCTTTAAACACAATTTTCCCTCTTTCTCTCCAAGGAGCTCCTCTTACTATCTGATAAGCAATCATATCTGCAGGGATATGATAGAAGGTTTTCCATACAGCAGGGTAATTGTTAGGCCCAGATCTCAAAGAATCCCCACATTTAATGAAGACTATGTCATTGGCAGCAAAGGAAAATCTCTCCTCTTGAACCTTATCATTTAAAAGTCCTTGGGAAGAAGCTTGACATGGCAGAGACCCACTCATCTATAATTCTTTCCCTCTTCGGAATAATTTCAGTACAGAATTATTACTACCATTCATTACTCTGTCATTTCACAGATCCTGGAGACTGGTAGGCCAAGTGTGATTGCCCTTTAGATTCAAAGTGCTCAATAATACTTTAAATCCCCCTTTTTTTTGCATTAATGAAATTTGGGCCCCTTGTCCGAGCTTTCCCCACCCCCAGGACTGGTCCATATTCCTCCCCAACCTCCTCAGTGTCTGAGTCTGCTGCCAGCTCTGCTGGCCACCGGCGAGGCACAACACTTATGAGGGACAGAGCAGATATCATAAGATTTATTAGATGCTATTATTTTCCTTCATTGTGTTGTACCTAGAATACTGCAGAAGGACATCCCAAGGATAGGGAGTCTAGAGAAACAGAATTTTCCAGGACTCCTATGTCCTTGAGATATCACCTTGCCAGTAACATGACTCAACAAAAAGAGGATGAAAATAATGCACAATGTTTGCCAGAAGACTTGCACCATTAATGCTGAAAGTTCCAGCATTGCCACTAGGTAAGGGACACATGGGTTAAGTGTTCGTTCAATGGCAACTGAGAATAGCAGAAGGTTGTTTGGTGAGAGATAGTTGGAGTTTTCTCCTTCTGATGGCATCATTAAGAGCACAGCACAAGAGTAGAATTAAATCCCAACAGTAGACAAGATGCCCTTTTTCAAGAAAACCTTTATGGAGAATGGAGATGTTGTTTTATGATTTTGACACGGGATATCAATATTCTCCCATTTTATCCTTATAAATAATCTACTTCTGTGCTCACGTTTTCGTCTGCTGCTTCCCTCCCTCTTGACTGTTTTCTAGGCTCATCAAACATGGTTACTGGGGAAACCAAAAGTTTCTTTAGCTTTGCAAAATCAGTAAGTATAAGGCCCTTCCGGCTTTGTTAGAGCTTATTTGTATGTGCTGTGCTCCGAGTCTCTCTTCTTTTTCCCTGCCGTTTTCTCCCCTCTCTCCCTTTAACAGCATGACTCATCCTTTGCAGATTCAGATCCAAGCTAGGCATTATCCACAGCAGAGGTATGAATGTTTCATTAAGTTTGTTGGTTTCTTTGTACCTAGGAAGACATGGCAAGGAGGGGCTGCTTAAATACAATTTACATTTCTAGGAGTATGGGGAGGGCAAAAAGCCTTCACCACCCCCCTGGAGGCCCTCCAGGCTGGAAATGGCCTTTTTGGCGACTTCTGGTGGGCCCAGAAGGCCTGAAAATCAACTGGCCCGTGTGCGCATGTGCAGCGGAGCTGAGCTCGCATGCCCACTGATATGGCACGTATGCCATTGGTTCGCCATCACGGGTCTAGGGTGATATATCAACCAAGCCATGGTGTCTTGTTCATTATATTTAATCTCTGGTTTATAGCAAAGTGGGAACCCATCCAGTTTTCTCCTAACCTAGATTTGAGAAGGGAGAGCTGCTCCTTTCATGTGAGAATAGGGAGAGTGAGCTTGTCCATCTTGAGAGCAAAAGGCTGAGGCCCATATCTTAATGGTTCATCTGGATTTATCTTTGTTTCATGCTTTTTTTTTTCTTTGAGATCCTCCAGACTCCATCATTGAAGTCTATACTCCAGCTTCTCTGGCCTCCTATCTTCTGTACATTGAGTGAGTGAATGAGTGAGTGAGTGAGTGAGTGAGTGATTATGGTACATCATGCATTTCCAGTGTAATATACACATGGAATACCTTGGTTCTAACTTGTTGCAATTTGTGTGCCCTTAGTGGTGGCAAGTGGAGAAAGTAAACCCTATCAAACTTTACGAAGAGAACAAAGTCATGGCTGGATTTTCTCTGTTGAACCTGCTTTTCAAACAGGGCCGAAGTAGCCTTGTCACTAAAGTAATGGACAATCTCATAAAACTTTACAACGAGAAGAAGATCAAACCAGTGGTTGATTCACTGTGGGCGCTGGAAGAGGTAAGGACTTTTATCTTTTTCCTTCTCTGATACGTTTGTTTTGGTTTGCTTTTTTTTAAAACAATGTATTATTAAAATAGGTCACGGACATTCCATCTGCATACTTCAAATAACATAACGGGAGCACTGGGGTTTTTATAAGTTTGTATTTTTTAAAAATGTAATTTTTTGCATAGAGATGAGAAAAGCAAGGATCCCATTTCCTGGTTTTATGTTCTAGTGTGTTAATTATTAGCATACTCAGTGTAGCTTATTTAAACATTGGCAGTGTTCCTATTAAAAAAAAACCCAAACCTGAATGCTTTCCAGTCATGTGTACTTTGCTGTTGGTTGTATCTTACAATGGATTTTCTAGCTTATTGTCTCAAAAAGCTTGCAGGCACTTCCCATAGAGTGTTGGACAACAAGTACTAAATGTTTCAGCCAGCTATGCTGGTTAAAGGTGGGATGCTTGGTCTGGCATTGAGCTTTCCAACCTGAACAACTTCCATATGTGTCGACTTCAATTCCCAGGTCACTCAGCAGTGGCCATGATGGTTAGAGAATTCTTGGAGTTAGTTCACACATCTGTTCACATGTTCACACATGTCAGGGTTCCGATGGATGCCCTAATTAAATCATGAGCCTCAAGCCAAGTTTCAAAAGAAATCCAGTTATTTATTAGGAGCTTCATGTCAGCACGTTCTCAAGTGAAGCCAGCTCTGACCCTACGTAATTTACATCCCAATCATGACCCAGTTTCCCCACCCCCCCAGGGTGTGTCATCAATCACATTCGCCAACGGAGCAATTTTGCAGGTTGTAGAGACCACTCCCCTCCGGCCACTGTGGGTAACCCTGGGATACAGGCTTGAGAGAGATAAGTCTGGAATGTGTATCTGTCTTTGGCTGCCGTGCTGTTTTGTTGGTTTCCCATCCCCTCTTGCTTATGGCAACTCGAGAGCAGGCCAGGGATGCTTTGCGAGTTGACACTGAAATTTGCCCAGGTTAGGAAATGTTGGTCTAGCACACCTGAAGAGCAACAGACAGACATGAGGGAAAACAGGTAGGAAGAAAGCTACAAAGGCAGTACTTCAGAGAGATAAGGACTCAGGCTGAATATGGGTCAAAAAGAAAAAGAAAAAAAGTGGACTGAAGAAAGAACTGAGCACTTAGCTAGAAAAAGGTTAGTATATTGAGGGGAGTTAAAGACTTGAGAAAGGACCTCTAAGCATGCCATGCTTGTTGTGTGCCATAATGAAAATATTGATTTATTTGTTTATTTACTTATTTATTTATTAATCAATCAATCAAATTTACATCCTTGACTATCCCACAGAAAGTGACCCTGGGCTGCATACAGTAAAATCAGGAAATGAGTAAGACCATCATTAGTTAAAACCATTACATAATTATTTTAAAAACGAGAAATTACAAAAGCAGACACAAGAAAAGGGAACAATGGACAGACGGATATTAATAATAAGGGAGCCACCACACGAATTCACCCATCCCTGGGGCTCCCAGGCCTGCTACCCTAATATGAAAGATATATTAAACTAGGATTTATTGGAATAAGCCTTCAAGAAAATATGTATGAGTTTTAGTGCAGGTTAAAAAAAAAGAATAAGAAAAGTAGGCATGGCACAAAAGAAGTTTGAGAAATGAGAAATGGAATGAAACCTAAAGAACCATAGATGTTCTTAACGCTTATATTTGTAAATGGTGTCATGCTATTTTACAAAATAACGTTCTTCCATTTGTTTGGTAACACTTCATACCATTTGGCAGCTGTCTCTCCTATCACTCTGACATTAGCTTTGAGAAGTACATAAATACAGTCTGTTCAAGACAAGTCTGGCTCTTTCATCAAGCCTACTCACTTGTCATCTGGTGGGGGAATTTAAAAAAACCATTAAACCTCATAATTACCCTTGTCCTTTCCTTTCCTCCCTAAGATAACACATTTATTTTTCAATTATCAGTCTGAGGTTTTTCCTGAGTTGCCGTATGAAGGGTGCTGTTGTCGTTCCATCATTGGAATCTAAAAGTCTCAGAGGTTACATAGCAAAAGATAAAATAAAATAATAAAGTAAAATAAAATAAAACCAGGAAGGCCCATCAGCTGTAGGATAGGATCTGTCCAACTCCATGTTTGGCAGAAGTACAAACAAACAAACACAGATGCTCAGGAAGACAGAAACTTCAATTTCCTCCCTAACAACTAACATAGAATAATTTTGCCTGCTCTTATAAAGAAAAGAGTTCCTGTTGTATCTGATCTGTCCCAGGACGACCACACAAATGTACAAAGGGGTGGCTTTGTTCTCTTTACTAAATGAGGCTTGCCAAGACATTACTTGCAATATGTTGTGGTCCATCGGCGGCCTGCGGAGTTGGCAGCAGAGTCAGACAGTGAGGAGGCTGGAGAGGAACATGGGCCAGTCCTGGAGTCTGGGGAAGGCTCGGATGAGGGCTCTGCATCAGAGGCAGAGATGGGACCAGGGCCATCTGGGAGTTATATGCTGACTCCGGAGCCTCCAGAGTCTGACATCAACGAGGCAGAGGAACAGGGGGAACATGCTCCCAGTGCACGCATGCGCTGAGCTGCCAGAAGGCAAGAACAGTTAAGACAAAAGGGGTGACTCGGAAGTAAGGCTTGGAGATGATTGGCCCCTCCCATAAGACATAAAGGTGGAGCAAAGGGACATGAGCCTTTACAGGAAGCAACTTTATTTGTTTTGGTTGGTTTAAATGAAGCTCCGTTTTTGATTCTGTGCTCCGTGTGGCCTTGCAAAGCTAATTGCCAATTAGGTCTTTGGCAGCGTGTCAAGGGAGATAAAGGTGGGTGCTTATCAGCCTTATCCCGAAGGACTGTGGCAGACTTCTGTTGGACTCTTTACAAACTATTTGTGACTCATTACAGGCTATGAATGAATAGAATTCACAGTCGTTGAAATAAAATGAGGGGTTTTGGGACTAAGCGTGTTAGTGTTACTGTCTCAGGAAGCTTTGGTCAGAATACAATATAGAGATAAGTTCCTTCCCAAAGTTCAGCAACTTTGGCTTAACAAGGGTTCCAAATCACAGAGGCAAAGCAGGAGAGTCATCAGGTGGCATCCGGGGGTCAACCTTGTAGCAAATTTGCCAGTTCAGGTTCAACGTCAGGGTGTATTTGTGTCATCACAACTCAAGGCAAACAGAGTGGGAGTTAATGAGTAGTTGTTGCCAGTCAAAAACTTGTACTTGCTGTTCCATTTTAATGGAGGCAGACATTTAGTGAGGTGAGACTCCTGCATGAGTGATCTTTGCTCCACTCTCTTCACAGCCCACCAAACTCTTGCATTGGACCGGGGGGGGCAGTAATTTCATGCCCTCACCTTCAGATGGTAGCTGAAAGTGTCTGCTGTTTTGCCTTGCCTCCTTTGCCTCTCACACACCAATCCAAATGGTGGCACTGGAGCTGTCTGCTTTCTCTGGGCATTTCTGAATTTTTTTTTTTTGGTGCTGATCTGTCTCACAGACCGGCTGACAACTGTTAACATCCAGAAAATGTGGCTATTGGTAAACAACCCAGACAATACAAGGAAGAACAGAAAAGAAAATGCAGAACAAACATTCAGTCCAGCCATACATTTTTGGCTGTAATGGTTGAGAATGTGGAGAACTCTAATCCCAAAAAAAACATCCACAAGGGGAAATTATTTTAAAATGCCAAGTCAGGTCAAGTAACCCTTCTCTGCTTTCAAGCTAAGCAAGACACCGTATATACGCTGAATAGGTATTGCAGAAGAAGATGAATGTGATTTTAAAATGAGAGAAAGGAACATCAATAAGCTTGGCTATGCGGGTGATATTAATCTGATAGCTGACAATGCAAAAGATCCAGAAACCGTAGTAAGGAAAGTCAGGCAGCTCAGTGAAAAAAATGGCACCATGTGAATAGAATAGAATAGAATAGAATAGAATAGAATAGAATAGAATAGAATAGAATAGAATAGAATAGAATAGAATAGAATAGAATAGAATCTGTCAGTGCGCAGCGAACTGGTGGTAAAATGATGTGAAACCCACCTCTGCTGAACAACTGTCTTGTTAGCAATGGAAATTTTGTGCTCCCTTGTGGTCGTAAGTCGAGGACTACCTGTTCAAACTAGCACTTGGTAGCCACAATGAAGGTCTTGGAAAAGTTATCCAGATGCCAGGAAAAAATCAGAAATCAGATCAGAATCATGTGCACCGGGGTGGGTTCTACCTACCTTTACTACTGGTTTGCACCGTGCCTGCGTGCACTGTTTGGTTCTGATCACTTCTGATGACATCCAGGTCAGTGGGCGGAGTCTCCCACCAGTTTTACTACCAGTTCTTGAGAACCGGTCCGAACCGGGGGCAACCCACCACTAATGTGCATACAATGCTTCTCCTTGCCACACTTCCATGGAAGCCAAAGTTGGATTGTGAAGAAGTAGGGTAAAAAGAATATTAACCCTTGAATGTTGGTGTTGGAGAAGAAAATACCAATGGATGGACCATGGATGGCCAAGAAAACAAATGAATGAATCATTCCAGACTTCTCGGAGAAAGGCATTGTCAAATGATCGTGCTTTAGAAGCATTATGCAAGCATCCAGCTCTCTTGGAGAAGTCTATAATTCTGGGGAAAGTAGAAAGAAAGCGATGAAGTGGACAATGAGCAGCCAAGTGGGTTTACTCAGCGAGAGAGACAGTCGATGCGCTGTGGACGGACTTGAAGGGTCAGTTGGGGACAGATCATCCTTGAGCAGCTGTATCTATGTGGTTGCTAAGAGTCAACACCAACTTGATGGCACGTAATGAAACCATCAGAGCACTGCAAGGATGGCTTAATGCAGCTTGATAACAGAACATTTCCCCAGTTTTAACATTCAGCTTTAACCATTAGTTAATTTATATGGAGTATATGCCACAGCCACTCCTAAGGAGGTCCAGGCGGAAGAACACCATGGTTTCAAAATCTAAAGGACTGACTGGTTTGGACAAAACTCAACAGCATTTTTTCGTGCGGCTGTAGATAAAAATAGGATCGCCA